CTGCTTCTTCCTCATGGATGTATTTTTGGTCTGTATCCTGGTCCCTTATTTCTTCTGCTTTATCTTGTTCCTTTGTGTGCACTGTGATGTTCTGTTGTCACATTTTTGTGTTTCTATTTACTATAAGTATTATAATGATTGTTGATTTTATGTTGAAGCAACTTGCCCACAATTTTTGTTTTCTTTGGATTTCAGCTAAGTAACCAGGGTAATGTGCTCCTCTGTTCAGTAGTTGGCAGCACTTATACATTCACCACCTGTCTCCTTTCCTGTTTTCAGCCTCCCATGTGTCCCTGCTGTCCTTGGCAAATGGAGTTTATTCTTAGGTCCCTGGAACCTGAATGAGAATGATGTCACTTTAAAATCCAAAATGGCTGCTGCTTGTAAACAATCTAAATGGCTACACCCTCCAGACAGCAGAAAGTCCACAGCTCAGGTTGTCTCCCTCTTTGCTGTTTCCCTTCCCAGTCAAAGGCCACCAGCACAGTCGTCCCTGCAGCTGTTGGTGACCAAGGCTGATCTTTAGGTCAATTCTTAGGTCCCAACATCACTTGGAAATATTCAGGCTGTTGGTTCCATCAGAGTAGCTGACAGTCCACTGCTCCTACTGTCTCCATTCTCACTGTTTTTGTTCAGGTTTTTCCACTAGTTGGTGCCTAATCCACTTCTATATTGTTCCTTTCAAAGCTCAGGGCTCCAGGATTATCTTCTGTATCTCTGTCAATTGGTTTATCTTTTCTTTGTTGAAGAGGGTCTGTGTAGCTTGTCTGCCTATTCTGCCATATTACTGGAAGTCTTCTTTATCACTGTTTTTCATTTTAACCATTCTGGTAGGCAGGCAATGCTATCTCATTGTAGCTGTAATTTGCATTTCTCTAAAGGCTAATGAGGTTGAACATCTCTTAACAAGAAGAGAAGTCACCATACCTGTGTTGTGGATAGTATTCTCCCCACATGCCCACAATAATCTTTCCCATTCTATGTGTTCTTCTTATAATATGCCTACTTCTCCTAATGAAAAGATTCTCTAGTCCCTCCTCCTTTAGTCTGGAAGGACTTGTGACTGTAGTCAGAGTGTCACTATGTCACCTTTGAAACTTGGTCACAAAAATACCATACACCTTGTTTTTTTCAAGACACTCACACTTGGAACCTAGCCACCATGTTGTAAGGAAGCCCAGGCCATATGGAGAGGTCACAGTGTAATGATTTCCACTTGACAGCTCCAGCTGATCTCCCAGCCAACAGCCAGTACTAACTTCCTGGTATGTGAAGAAGACTTCAAGATGGCTCCAGCTCCAGCCATCATTTAACTACAAGTTAGAGAAGAACTGCCTACCTGAGTCCAACCATGCCAGAACCATGTGAGATAATGATAAAATGATTGTTGTTTTAAGACATTAAGTTTTGTGGTAGTTTGCTATATGGTAATAGATTAAAAAAAAATATCTGCACTATTTAACACTGTACTCTAATAGGTTCCATAAAATTGTACTCCTAGCCTTTTCTTGGAGAAGCCACACTCCATCTTCATTCTCTTTATGCAATTGAAAAAAAGAAAAAAAGGCTCTTTGGTTTGTAGAAACTGAAGAAGCCCATTGGAGTCAATATAGTATGTTGATCTGCAATGTGAACAAACACACTCTGGACAACATGGTCAAGAGGCACAGGATTCACTCAACAGGCTCTTCCCTCTACCTGCAACACTCTTGCCCCAGACAGCTAAGTGGTCCACTTCTTCACATGTCTCTGCTGTAATGTCACCACAAGAGAAAGGCCTTCTCTGTCCAGCCTTTATAACAGAGCACCTCCTCTCACTTCCCATCCTTAATATTTCTTTAATTAAAGAAATATTAGCACTTATCACAGTCTGTGTGATGTCTGGTGGTGATTTCACTTATCTATTTGTTTACTATCATACTCTCTCACCCCCAATCCTCAAGTAAGCTAAATGAAAGTAGCAATTTTGCATTGCTTGTCCTTAGGACTAGAACAACAGTCTGTGGCACATAGTAGGCAGTCAGCAAATATTTATTGAATGAATGAATGAGTGAACAAACCAATAAGACTAGAAAGCACTTGCAATGAGCCTGTCCCTGTGAGCTCTTTGCTTAGTGTGTGGAGGTGCAGGAGATGTTTAAGATGTATGTTCTGCTCTCAAGGATGACAACTGAATGATGAATAATCTTTTGGACAATGTAGGGAGGAAGCTCTTAAAATCAGCTGATGAAGCAATGAATTATTATCTTAGTTTTATGTCCGATTTTGACATCTGACATGTACTTACAGCAAAGAAGTATGCACAATCAATTTCTAGAAACAAGGAAAGAAAGCCTGACTCTAAGTTGATTGCCTTTCTTTGTTTTCTCTATAGGTACTAGTTTTGAAAGCCAATTCATGGACTGGTTTAATGCTTTGCAAATTGTGTTCTAAGATGGTGGCTTTGCCAAGGTTCTTCCTGATTTAGGCCAGGTGAGGGTTCCTGCCCTTTTCTTATAGCTCCCCTGTTCTATGGTAGATCATGAAAAAATTGCCACATATTCTTCCCTACTCTGTCTCTACATGCTCTCTCAATATGAATTTGCAGCTTCTCCCATTAAGAGGTAAAGTCTATTTCCCAATCCCTAAATCTGTACTTAGCTATGGGACATTAAAAAAAAAAAATTAACTGCTATCAAGTTGATTCCAACTCATAAAGACCCCCATTGGGTTTCCAACGCAGTAAATTTTTACAGAAGTAGATTGCCCCATCTTCCTTCCATGGAGTAGCTGGTGGGTTTGAACCACCAACTTTCTGGTTAGCAGTCAAATGCATTATCCACTAAGCCACCAGAGTTCCTTTATGAGACATTAGCAATCATGATGTTTGCTTCTTCTGCTGTGCTTGGGAACCTTGTCACAGCCACCATCTGAATAAGCCTGTGCTATGAGTCGGGGCCGACTCGACGGCACATAACAACAACAACAACAACAATATGCTGGGGCAGCCAGTTAACATGCTCAGCTGCTAACCTAAAGTTGGAAGTTTGAGTTCACCCAGAGACACCTCAGAAGAAAGGCCTGGAGAGCACCTTACAGAAAATCTGTGATTGAAAATCTTATGGAGGACAGTTCTACTCTGACTTGTACAGGGTCTTCATGAATTGGAATTGACTTGTTGGCAACTAATTAGGCAGCTGGGAGATGAATGATAAGTGGCCTATTTCCTTTCATTGCCCTAGGTGAGAATGAGTGAATCATCAGGCAAAGGATTGAAGAGGCCATCAACTATAGGCTGACCAGAAATGCGTGAGTGAGCTCAGCTGATACCACATATAGCTATTCCACATTAGCTATTCCAGCTGAGGTCAGCCCACATGCACAGAATTGTGAGCAATACATAGTTGTCATTTTAAACCATTAAGTGTTGGGGTGATTTGTTATGTAACACAAGTTGATTGTTAAAAATAGAAACCAAACTCACTGCCGTCGAGTCAGATCCAACTCATAGCGACCCCTCCTTGGGTTTCCTAGGCGATATCACTACAGAAATATATTGGCCAACCTTCCTTCCAGTTAGCAGTCAAATGCATTAGGCACTACACCACCAGAGCTCTGTATGCTTTGAAAAAAATCAGTGAGAACAGTGCAAAAAGTAGGAATTTATATCTGTTTGTTAAACATAATCCCACATTTTCAAAGTGTGTATATGTGTATGTGGACATATGGGAAAAACGAGAAATAGAATCATGATTTTATCCTTTTTTGGAGTTTATAAAATTTTAGTAAAATTTACAGTCTTCTTAAAACAAATAAGACAAGCAAGGTGCTCAGGCAGTTTCTTCTGGCTGAACTCTGATAATTCCTGAACAAATTCTGATGTAACATGAAAATTTTTTGTGTACCTGAGGTTGTTGGGTTGTAAAAGATGGGGATATCAAAGGGATGTCCATTCATTCCAGTGCCATTGCCTGTAGTGGGAGGTTCTGGGGCACTAAAAGGTCCTCAGTGGTGAAAATCTATGTCCCTAAGCTCCTCCATCTAACTAACCCTTCCTTAGAATATCAAATCATTATTTCTTTGGCTCTTATACTACATGTTCTGTACCCTGGTGTGGGTGATGCGTTTCAGCAGAATCTTTTGAGCAGGTGCAGTAATGAGAAATCCAGAACACTGGGCTTAGAGATACGGCAGTATACAGAATATATTCCAAATATTTTCCATTCTCTTCCCTTCTCTCATCCCTGGGGTGCCAACCTGTGTTGACTGCATTAATGGCTTCCAGCTGGGTTCAGTCAATTTGGAGCACCAGTAGGAGGTAAGAAGGAAGGAGCAAAATGAGATTGGGGTATTTATTTCTTCATCTCCCATTTTATTTTGCAGGTTCACTATGTTCTATATTTTGCTAAAGATCAAGGCACTGGGCAAGCAGCTTTCTTCACACAACCATCTTTATTTCCAGATTCCAGTAACCAGTCCCTCACCTCACCTCTTCAGCCATGGGTCATAATGGTAGTACTCCATTCTGAAACACAACATTAATCCTATGCATTACTCTTTATAATTTTCCTACATCTGCCCACACCTTTATACACTGTGCATTTATCAATTTCTCCTCAAATTATCCAAGTGGAATTTGTCATCTGTTTCCTGCAGAGACTTTGAGAGATACTGTTGACATGCATATTCACAGTAATAAGGTGGACATAGTCCTAGAATAGTCAGTTCCTCTCCTCCAACAGAAATTGGAATGTGGCAGAAATGAAAAGAAGTTTTCATTACTTCCTACACTCATTGTTAAGGTGGAAAATTATCTATCACATTCAGGTCACAGGCAATTCTGACTAACAGGATGACACAGAGAATGATTATTTCCTTTTAGTAAGTCTTCTGGGAAGGGCTGTGACTGATTCATGACTAAGAAAAATTAGAATTATGACAAAGTGTCATTAGGAGGATAATGCCCACAATGAACAAAGTGACAAGGTAAACCACGGAGGGGCCAAACCTAACAATCTTACCCGGCCATCACTGGTCAGGAGGATGGAGTCACTCTTGATGTCTCTGTGGATCACTCCTTGGTTGTGAAGGTAGGAGAGGGCTCTCAGAACTGACAGACAGACAGTAGCTATCTGTTCTTCATTCATTCTAGAAAGGAAATAACATTTATGGAGCAAGATAAGTTTAGCAACATCTCTGAAATGATTGAGAGGCAGAGTCCTTGAGTTCTGGTGAACCAGTCCATGCTCTCCAGCCCACGAATGGAAAATCTGTAGGCAGGGAAAAGGAAGCCTTTGGGATTTGAGTCTTGGAACATGCAATTCACAATGACAACACCACCAAGTGTCATCTTTGGCACTGAGGATGGCAGGGGCCAAATGTAAGAAAAGAGACTGCCATTAGTCAGTTATTGGATCATTAATACCAATGACTTCCATGGACTTTTACAGATAATACCTTAGGCATCAGAAAACAACTGAGGTCCTACAGAGAGAGTTGTTGTTGTTGTTGTTATGTGCCATTGAGTCATATCTGACTCATAGCGACCCCTCCTTGGGTTTCCGAGGTAGTATCGCTACGGAAGTAGATTGCCCCATCTTCCTTCCGAGGAGTGGCTAGTGGGTTTGAACCGCCAGCCTTCTGGTTAGCAGTCAAGTGCCTTAGGCACTATGCTATCAGAGAGCACACTGAAAAAGTGGTCTGAGGTGCCAGGTATTGCTGGCTGCCAGGTGACCCTGAGTGAGGTCTTTAATTTCCTTAGGTTTTTGTTTTCTTGTCTTGGAAATGGGACAATCGTAGTTCTCTTCAAGGCTAGTCTGGGGCAAATGATCTTTGGACATCTAACTTCCCCTTCAGGGACCTCTCACTCTTTCTCACTAGTCCTCTCTTTCCCTTTTCCAGGAGATATAAGTTTTTATTGTTCCAGGTCCTTCTTATTGGAAGGAAACTGGACTTTGGAGTTACTAGAAACTAAGGAGCTCCAGGGCGGTACAGTTAATGTGCTTGGCTGCTAACTGAAAGGTTGGAGGTTTGAGTCCCCCCAGAAGCACCTTGGAAGAAAGACCTAGCAATCCACTTCCAAAAAATCAGCCATTGAATACTCCATGGAACCCAGTTCTACTCTGACACACATGGGGTCACCATGAATTGGGTTTGGCTTGATGGCAGCTGGCAACACATGTGAATGGATGGCATTTTCTTAAGAATATTCACAGCAAAACATACACCAATTCAGTGAACCACAGGGAGGAGAAAGACAAAGCACAGTGCTGTATATATGTGCCCACATTTCCTGCCTGCACCCCTGTAAGGATGGCATTTATGATTCACAGAAGAATATTGAGGCCAGGTGACTTGTCTAACATTACATAGATGAAAATGGCCAAGTCACAATTCAAACCTCACCTCTTCTTGAATTGGAACCTATGCCTACCTACTTTTCCCACTGTGTCACACAGCCTCAGAGCTCAAAGAATGGATTTTTCTAAGGCACCTGACTGCTAACCAGAAGGCTGGTGGTTCAAACGCACCAGTCACTCCTC